GAATTTGATCTCCCTGAAAAATGAGGCAATGAGTTGTTGAATAGTCAGTCAAAAAACCTGAATGCCTCCATCCACTGGTGACCAAAGGAAAATATGTTGAAATTTTCATACCTATTTTACACTGATTTTGATGATATTGCACTTTAAAGAAATGTATTTTTGATGTTTTATTGCAGGTATGTTGAATTATGGTAATGGGAGCAAAAAGATGCAAAAAGGAGCGAATTTGAAGCAAAAAAGGACCAAAATATGAAGATTTGATCTTGGGCGTCGCGGGCGGCGCGGGCGGGCTCGATGCCGCCGACGGTGGGTTTTTCCCGAGAGTCCACAATTAAATATTATAGAAGGCCAACGACGGCGCCATCGAGACCGCCGACGGCGAGCACATCGGTTCTCTCAACAAATGCATTGAATGTGGACGATTTTTGAAGGGACGCTTGGGCAACTCTTAAAAATTCTTCTACAACTTTAAAAGAAAAATTCGAGGTCGAACAAGGTGTCCACTAAGTCTTTGTTGTTTGTGGTGCCCATTAAAGTGTCGAGAGTGGTTAGTATTGTGAGGAATTCTTTGAGAGATTGTAAGAGTGGAAGGAAAGTGAGAGATTTATTCCTTCTTGCCGCTTCGAAGTAGGATTCTGTGTTCTGTAAAGAAAGGAAGAGATTCAGAGGAACTTCGATAAGTTTGCTTGGGGAGGAATTAGAGATAAGTTATATTTACTTATTAAAGTTTGTATGACTTTGCTTTTATATATAAATTCCAAGTTTTGTCGTATCTTCTCCAAGAGTTCTGAGTAGTTTTCTCTGTCTTTCTTTAATTGAGTTGTTAAAATATGTTGAGTTTTACAAATAAAGTGAAGATTACATCCTAGTTTAGGGAGGTAAAAGTCCTTGAAAGTTGGGTGCAAATAAATAGGGAAATAAAAATTATCGGGCATAGAATTAGAGATTTTAGAGTGACAGACTAAAATCCTCAATTCGGTCATATCGTTTAGGTGCTTTAGTGTAGATGTTAGCCCTTAGGCGAGGGGAATGTGGGAGCTCCAAAGTGAGAGTCGGTATCCTCCCAGCCTAGCTGCGGATTCAGTAACCAAGCATAGAATTAGTCAATGTTCTTTATGTCTGGTCCAAAGGGTAAAAAATAGGTATGCTCCTGCTCGGCACAATATAATTTGAACTGATTCAATTTATCCATTCACTTAAATTTCTTGACAAGGAGAAGAATGCTTTATTATAAATTGAACAGGATGCTTTCTTATATGGATGCTTTCTTATATATTGAACTTCGTAGTAGAAACTTTATTAGTAAAATTAATTAATTAAGAATTTATTAAAATTACATTTTTATTTCAATTGCCTATTAGTGACAAATATGCAATTTGAACTATATTGTTGTGATTGAGTATTGATTTTTAAATCTTAGTTCGTAGCCTCTAATATTACTCCCTGTGGGATCGATATCCAGGACTCCATTATCTAAAATCTTAGTTCGTAGATCTAATCCTACTCCCTGTAGGATTGTTATCTAGGACTCCATTAGAGCCCTATATTACTTGAGCGATACATATACTTGCGTTGATAAGTGTGACATTATAATTATTGAATATTTAGCAGTAGTATCAAATTCTTGTATTTTTAAGCATTTATAAAGTCGTTGTCAATAATACGATGTGCAGTCAATGTAGTAGATTATCCAGGGATGACTCTCTTCTTGCTAGTGACATGATCCATGAAAGGAGAAAAAAAGCCACCTTGAAATCCCTGGTCATCACCCTCTTAGGTAATGAAAAGATCTGTGCTGGGAGAAAAATATCGATCGGGATTGACATTCGCTCAAACAGGTGACACGACGTCAGTGCCCAAAAGAAATAAGGGTTAACCAACAAAGGAACCATGATTAAATTGATTTCTTAGTATCCAAGGTCTAACCTGAGAGTAGGTCTCTCCGAGGACTAATGACCCATGTAAAATAAAAAGTTTCACATACCAAAATAATAAAAATAATTACAAAAAGGCAAAACATTTATTTCCATTAATGTGAAAAAAAAATTACAAGTCTTTCCACACAATGCTAACAACTTTTGAGACGAAAAAAATGAAGAAGATGAGTCCTCATTTTTTTTAGGGTCCTATTGGGTGGCCGACTCTTCTTCACTTCTTAAACTGTCCTCCTCCTTAGGACTCTCTATTGGCTCAACTCAGAGTAAAGCAAGAAATATTGTCTAGTCAGTGTACTTAGGGTCGACCAAACTACGATGAATGAATTGTTGAATGGCATAGTCCACCAAAAGTTTAAAGTACTCTACCCGGCCATCCTTGTACTATTCTCTGGAGACTGATGAGGCAATCTTCTCTTTTGTCTTAGTTTTTTCCTTCTTTAAAGTCATTCTAGTGCCATGGGATTCTTTGTTGACCCTCACTGACTTGTCAAAATTGACCTTTTAAGATGCACCTTCAGTAAAACTTCCTTCTTCTGGGCTTCCTCTAATGGCTGCTCAACCTCAAGCATGGCTATCCCCAAAAAAATGGGCACTCTGCATTCTGGAGAAGCTCTTGGCAACTGAAGCCTCCCATAGTGTAGTCAAGGACAATTTTTTTTTGACATCCATTTGCAAGAACCAATTCAAGTGGTTCGATCTAGTTGATTGAAGTGCTTGCTAGCATCCTCCTATATCCTTTTGTTACTCTCATGCATGGGCTCCCACAAGGACTCCTTTCTTTTGATGGGAGGGGGCAAAGAGTCTACCTTCTCCATCAGCTCCATTCCCCCACCGATGTACCTTTATTCCCTCATACAAAGGTTGGACCTCACCCTCGAGGGATGAAGTTGACTCCCTCGATGAAGAACTAGATGTAGAAGAAGGATTACCTGACTCACCTTGCACTTCTCAAACTGAGAAATGAAAGGAGAGCCATCGGCCTGAGGATTTGGTAGAGTAGCAATTATTGGTGTTGTACCAGCCTGCAAGCCATAGGTTCTAGCAGAGGAACTGCAATCGCAACTCTGCCTGGTATCCCTTTAGAATCTGACTCCCTCTCATCACATTTCCTTGCATAAATAGATGAGAAGAATGTTTTCGAGGAATACCAATGACCTTGTCAGTAACCTGGTCTTGAATAACAATGATATGAGCAGACATGGAGACAATGTATTATGTGGCCACATTTTAAGGGTGCATATCTTCATCTTCTACAGAATTACCTAACTTTGAGGGATGCTTCTGCTTACAATGCATAGTAGCTAACTTTTCCTTTGCCCCCCTCACTCAAACACCTTCTACAATGTCTAAATCATGCCACAACACTTTCATCATCTCACCCGCCAACGCACTAGCAACCATCGCCTTTGCATTATATTGCATGGCTGCAAGATGATAGCTGGTTGACATCTCCCTAGTGACCTTCATGCTCTCTGGGAGAGACCTTGGCTTTGACTCTGAGCATTCCATCTGCTCATTCTGATTCCCCCAAGCACCAGAACAAGAGCATCCCTAACATAATATGGTGAAAAATTCGAACGGCCAAGACAACGGCGAGACAACCAAGACGTCCTACCACCCTACAGCTAACCGTGTGGTTAAAAATCAGCCAACATAATACGGTGAGAGATTTGAATGACATACCACACAGATAGTCCCAACCGACAAGGGCGTAGGCGAGAATTCTTGTTCTCGACTAATTAATTGACCTGCATTTACCGTGGCAGACGAGATCGACACTCAACCAGGCACCTTAGCCAACTAACACATGGTGTGGTCGCCACTCAGTCGGTCGTCTCAGTCAGCCAAATGCAAGCAAGTCGACTGGCTAAGTTTTCGTCATATTAAAATTCAAATTGTAACACTCATATAATATGATATCTATATGATTAATTTGAGTATCAATTATATTAAGAGTGCTTTCCATAACTACTCCCTCTTTTATGTTATTGTACAAAATATGTTTCTATGAACAAGAGACAAAAATACGAACAAAAAGACCTTTTACCGATACTCTCAACAGAAAAATCCTAACTTGCTATACTCTTTCTCTCTTTCTTGCTTCACTCTCATTCCTAAACACTCGAGGTGCGTTCAAAAAAGGACAACATAGAATTCAACAATAAATATATATATATAT